CTGTGGTTCTGGCTATTTCAGGCCACTTATAAGGTCTGAAACTGAATTATAAGTATATAATTTGTTATAAAAAACACACTATGGCAATATAATATATGTTTTCAAGTTTATTCATAGTTATCATTGAAAAAATTAACATTTATTATATTTTGTGGAGTCTTACATGAGGTGCTGCATAAAAGTGATTTACTGTACTACACAATTAAAAAAGTGACGTTATTTAGAGGAAGGGGTGGAAACTAGGGCATTCGGCCTAGTATGGTATTAACTTCAGCCAATTCACTTAAAAAATATTAGAAATCTTTAAGAGACCAATTTTGTCGACAACTATTAACTGTGAGTCAGCTGACCTCCTGAACTCACTCCTAGATCCACCCCTAGTACATTTATAGTATGATTAATATATGAATAAATTATTGAATACATACAAAAATATAATTTTGATTAGTAGATTCGATTTAATACGATACACAAAACAGTAAGTGTAACAATTATTCAAATATAACTATTAAAATTATTACGTCAAAAGCAAATAAAGTGTAATATTTACATAATTTAATTTTAAATTATAATCTAGTTGTACGGTGTTATTGTATTTATTAAATTTTTGTTGCATTATTATATTATCTATTTCTAAAATCATATCCATTATTTTTACGGCAATTTATACTCAATCTCTTAGAGCGAAACTTTCAGAAATTACTTGACGTTGAATTTATGGTTCATTAAAGCATTGAAAACTTAGGGATAAGGTTAATTTTTAGTACGTTGACTCTTACACTTAAGATTGTTTCTAAAAACTTAAACATGATAATCTGACAACTAAGTAATTTAAAAAAACAGATAGAAATAAGTAGTATAATAATTTAAAACAATTTATTAACAATTTAATCACAATAATATAGTATTTCAAACATAATTGTATGGTAGCACTAATCATTCTTCATCCATTATTTGACATATATCAAAACACTTCTGTCGTTATTTGCTACGAATAACTGCACTGTTCTCTCCGATTGAACAATATATTATGACCACAGTCACTATGTTCAACCCGTTTCAACTGATATTCAAAATTAACTTAACCCATGTCTGTTAGATTTTGGTTAATATTTTGGTTAATAATGATTTAAGACCGACTAGTGTGCGTTTCACAAGTTTTAATACATTTTGAAAAAATAAATAATACTGTTAGAGGATTATATGAATTTCATACACCTGAATAATCAAAACGTTAACATCCAAAGTACATGAAATAATATATTTTACGACTATTAGCTTATATACAGACTGTTAATAGAAAATTAAACGTTAAACATTTCGATCAAATGCTGAATTCTAAGAATTTCGGACAAAATCCCATGGAATTTTCAACTTAACGTTTTTTAAGTTACGTGAATGAATAAGAGGATTTATTTATTTTTAAAAAAATTTTAAAAGTTTTATGTACAGAAGAATTAAATTAACAAATTCTGCTGAAAAAAAAAATCTATTATGTAAAGAAATATTTTTACAATATCTTAAGGATGAAAACCCAACATTAAACAAGAACAAATCTCAATAAAAGTTAAATTATTTTTGTTGATTTTAGACAAATTTCATATGCTTCACAACCTTTACGTGGCAAACAAGAACTGCATTATTCGTTTTTTGTGATGAATGAAAAATGAAAATATTATAATTCTGTTGTCTAAACTCCCTGTGTTCGAAAAAAGTAACGTCACATCATAAAACCTATTGCGCTATACCGTATTTTATGCACTATTTTTGTTTACCGATATTTGCTTTGGAAATTAGATTTCAAAAGCGAACTATCGTATTTCCGACGATGGACGTAAAACCACGTTGTTATTCTCCAATAACATTTTTAAAGTCCTCCTTTGACACAGTAGCAATTAAAATTTCCAGTATCTTCCAGCGAATACGCTTGTAAACTACGATTTTACACGAATTGTATTACCGGGCTTAAAGACTTAGTTTCATTTCACACTTTTTCGATAAGATATTGGTTAGATGGCGGCATATTATACTCGGAAATAGAACAAGCGCGAGGTTTAATGTGAACGGTATCTCTTAAATATTAAAACGGATTTATTGAATGATGTGTTAACCATCCCGTTAAATCCAAGAAAACAAATAGCAACAAAAACATTGCAATATCAACAGTGTGTTTTATCAAAGCTCTGCGGTAAGAAGGGCTAGTTGAAACAAAATCGAAAAAAGCCAATCGTCTTCGGTAAACATTTAACCGTTCATTATAAAATATAATAATCATTGGTGTAACGCATTTGTTGTTCAGAAGTTTATTCAACACTTCCGAGTTGTCCAACATTTTTGCACAAGATTTCTCAGAAAGTATTTTACTATACGTATACCTGCGATTAGAAGAAAACAATGAAGTACAATAATAATAACACATACGAGTACATACGGTTATTGTTATTTATCATTACACTAAGTCTTACTGTATTTTATATGACCTCGGTAGACCAAAACATACATAATGGATCGGTATAATACTAATTCAAGAGTTATGTAAGCGATGAGTTTTTGTCAATAATTTCACAACTTATTGAATAGCATGTAACTATAACAGTATACAAATGAGTTCGACTTTATTTCGCCGAAGGTGATTGGTATAAAATAAAATTATTAACAGCAAATCAAGCATAAAATAAAGAGTAATGCATAATGAAACTATAAACGGTCTTGAATAACAACAAAAAAAAAGGTCTGGTTATAAATTAATTTCCAATAAATAATATATATTTTATTTACCGTCTTGTTTATTTATTATTCGATAAAATTAATATTTCATATTATTATATACGTATAAAAACGGCCAGTCAATAGAGTCGACACGTGTTTTATTTAACACTGATTGAAAATAATAAAGAAGAAAAACGTATTTTTATTTGTCGTAGATGATATAGGCAATGTTTTGAATTCAATGGTCTTGAAAAAAAAATAATACATTGACGAATTATTTTTTAATGACTCGGTGCAAAATGTAATCATTAAATTGGCCAAAGACCATTTTCATTTCTCGAAGACAATTTCTCCAAAATGGAAATAAAAGATGGCATTATTAGAGTAAAAAATATTTTTAGCCTACCCACTAATGTTTTAAGTGAATTATTTATCAAACAATTGTTCGTCTAAAAACTGCACATATAATATATGATAATGTATGAGGGAAAACTATGATTCTCCTTTAAACACAAAACAAGGCATTCCTAATCAACCCTAACACCATTTTCGCGTTACGTTGGTGAAAAATAAACAGCCTACCAAAATGCATGCTGTGAATTCATAGGCGTACACACGTGGTATGCCCAGGCGCACTCCAAAACTTCTCACAAGGGAATATATGGGGGATTAACCCCCCCCCCCGTAGTCATTTTTTTTTTTTTAATAGATTTATGTGTTTGATTTTTGAAGGATTTTATTTTATCTAGAATATCACAAAACTACCGATATCGAAGGTAGATTTTTTGCTAATAAAATAAATTGTTAATACACTTGTAGTAGATTATCCGTGAATCCAATATTTTTGATAAAACATCAAGGGGAGGAGCTATATTCAATTTGTTACCCCTCCCATAATTACATATATCAAATAAAGAATAATATCAATAAATTTGTATATGATTCTATTGTAAATAAAATAACTTTCATTTTTTATTTCATAATTTAAATAGTTTAATTTTATTGGAATATAAAATATAGTAAAAAGTCCATACGTTTGACTATAATCTGAAAAACCCAATCAAACTCGACTAGCGTAACCTTATTAATTCTAGTTGTAGGTCTATATTTTTTGATAACGTATGTTTGTCTATTATTATTAGTTTAATGTTTGCAAAAAAAAACATTTTTAAAAAAAAAGTTTAAACATACAAGTATACCGTGAAAATAATACGACGTACAAAATATATATATATATATATACCTTATAATAGTATATATATAGCTATATATAGCTATATATATATATATATACCTTAGTATATATTCACCTAAGGTAGTGCAACTATGGATGTGGCGATCGAAAAATCCCTCGAAACATAATTTGTCGAGTGTAACAACCGCAACGATGAAACATAAGAAATCGAGCGCCAGTAATAGATTGCAATCGGCGAATGGACAAACCGGTCATCATTGCCGCATGTCGACAATTTTGACTGGTTTCTCTTTACATCAGTGATTGGCAACCGACTGTCGGGCCGCGTGTGACCCTCTTTTTGACGGCCGACATTAAATTCTAAAACTAAGAAATTTCATTGAATATCATAACAATTTTTTCTATCATCTGGCCCGTTAACCCTTTTTCTAATTTACGAATATAGCCCAAAGGGTTCAGAAAGGTTAACGACCACTGCATCACAGTAACATTCATGTTACATTCTCGATGATCCGCGGTCTTCTGCAGAACGAACCATGTAAATAGAAAAAAAAAAATGTTTCTTTACATAATATATTTATACATCATTACGGTTATGTTGTTTGTTGAAATTATTTCAATAGCGAGTTAAAACAAATTACTTGTTGCTGATTTTCTTTTTTTTTTTTTTGTCTAAAAATGAAAACTAGGTATGATACGTCGTATTTTACGATATTTCAAACAAAAATATTCGGTGTTCTTATTTAATTGTGCTTTAATACCGCATACAACATTACAAGATGTTTCAACAGTATAATTGTTGAATCTTCGTTTCGATTTAAATTCAGCCACTCGTCCGCGGAATTCGCTTTTCATCGGCACCACATCCCGTGGATAACCGTGGTGCGTCGGCAGCAACACGTTTACGAATGAAACGGAAAATCCAAAACCGAAAACAACAATATCACGGACCGCGGTATCGTATTCAATTGTACCGCGGTCATCATGCGCGTACGTATACCGCGCGCGTTGCGTATACGTGCGCGCGCGCGCGTGTGTGTGTGTATGTGTGTGTGCACATCGGCGACGGACTTTGGCGGGTTCGGCCGGCAAAGTAACACCCCACGCATGTCAGTCGTGCGTTCGCCGTCCGTGTGCGAGTCGCTTTTTCGCGTTTCGGAAAACACACACACACACACAAACGCGCGCGCGCGCGACCGCGCTGGCGCACACGTACACACGGGAGAATGCGATTCGAACGCGGTGCCATCGAAGAGTAGTAGTCGTAGCGGTGTCCTCTTCAAAACGTAGACCTAACAATAATAACAGTTCCGAAGAAATAATCGCAAAACTGTTCATTTTTTTTTTTTTCGTTTTCCGTTCGCGACATTTTCGTCTCCTAGCGCGCATTGGCAGCCGTCGTCGAAATCGTTCTCTGAGGTCCGCGTGCTCATCTTAGCGGTCGCCAATAGAAAATATTACGTTCGTTTGCGCGCGCAATCCTTTTGTTTTCTCGCGGTCCGTGTTCGTTTATTTATTTATTTTTTTTTTTTTCGTTTATTTTCGTTTACCAGTTATAATTTCTCCGCCGAGACATTTTTCGCGACGACCGCACCTTCGAAGTCTTGCGATCGTCGACACGGTAAGTATTTATATTATATTATAAACATTTATAAACGTCTTGTTACAAAATAGCAGTTATGAATAGGGTTATTTTATGTTACCTAAACAAGAGCCCCCCCCAAAAAAAAAAAAAATTATAACTTACTGTAATATATTTTTAAAATATGCACGCACTTTTCAAATGGATTTATAATAATTTTTAATTGAGAAATAATGTAAACATATCTTGTTTGACAGAATTAATTTTATTATTTTAAATCAAACGTTACTTTTCCTTCCAATTACTCTCGTATAATGCGGTATCTTAATTATATTATAAATATGAAACAGGAAATCGGGGAGCATGGTAAATAATTATGAACAGGGTCTTACTATGAAACTTCTGATTTCATGAAAAGCCTATTTATCACAAGATATAATAATATCGCATACACGTATGTGTTATTATTGTTATCTTGTACGGAAAGCATGTCTACTATAAATATTATAACGTCGATATTTGTGGGCCTATACGATGATGACCAATACATTTTCGCCAAGAATATTACGTATTCTAGATGTGTGCGATTCTGACGAAAGCTCTATTTTTCTTCTTCTTTTTCTTATTTGTTCTTCATCTCCGAGCCGTTGTTGTAAAATTTTTTGTGCATAGTCATTTACAGGGACGAACGCAAGAAAAAATTTCAAGGGAGATTTAAAAAAATGTAAAATGTAAAATTTGAATAAATAGCACGTCTTATTACTCATTATATATATATTATTTACAAGTCTCATGGGAAACTTTTAAATAACTATTAAATTTGTAAATAAGATCCTATTTTATTAACATTTTTTTTTTTTATATATATTTCGGGAAGGGGGATTAACTCTTTATTCTTCTTCTTGAATTTGCGTCTGGTCATTTTATGCCCATAAATTATATGTCATCCCATCATAACAATTCAATTAAAATAGGCACTGTGTTTCAGTGTGTCACTTTTATTATGTTTTTGATGTAGAAGTTTTTTCACTTCATCCCTAATCAAAATAACATCTTAAGGTACTTGTAAATGGTGTGAAAGTTCTTGGTAAGTTTTTCGCTTTATTCAATTACGAATTTTTGTGGGGATAATAATAATTAAATTAAGTATTAGTTTTGTACTATTTCAAATAGAGAACTCTTGATATAATATCGTGTATACAATCTGAACATAGTAATCGGGTTTTTCAAATAAAAATATGGAACAAATATTCAGAAGTGTATCCAGTAGTTTTACAGTTTCTTATACATTTATTTACAACAGCCTTATGCTAAGGTCATATAGAAAACTACGCACGATCCCTAGTTATAATATTGAAAAATAGTCGATAGAAAATTGCTTATTCAATTCTTTTGATGAAGTTCTATTAAGAATTCGATTATCTACTGCAAAATGTTTAATGTACTTAGTATCTATAACCTACTTATAATTATTTTTTTAAACTATATACTAACTTTTTTCTTCACTTTGTCGTAAATTATTAATGTTTGATAAGAATAACTATGAACTTATGGAAATTTGATACAAAAATTAGGAAAATTTCCTTTTTCCATTAGTGAGTAGAAGGTTTATAGAAGGCCTACTCAAAAAAAATGTTTAGCTACATCCTAGCAGATATATTCGTATATGTACTCGTAGAACAATCAGATGAAATAAATGTGATTTTTCATAATAATTGAGTTCTTATAAATATATAATATTTTCTCTTCGCTCCCATTCCAATTTATAATAGAAAAATTACAAAATTACGACTACTATAGTTAATTTAGTACCCACTAAATTTGTAGGCAAGTTCTTCACAAAAAAAAAACTGTCGTTAGTATTTATTTACAATTTTTTTTAGCATAATATCTTAAAAACCTTATAAAATCGATTTAATATACTTTTGTTTAACTTTTTTTTAGGAATCTCTCTAATCAAAACATACTAAACACCTAGATATGTCCACCATTGAAATTTATTTCACAGTCGGTGTATTGTGTTCTAAAAGTATTTCATTGAAAAAAGCTAAGAGTACAATGTTAAAAATAAATGTTTAAAATAAGTGAATCCAATATCCCATCATTCAATCATTCGTTTAATTCAAATTTAAGTCACGAAGAGACAATTAATTAACCTAATATATAACATTATAAATGTTTCTATTAACTAAAAATTCAATAAAGATCGCATTATTATTTATGATACAACTTGGTAAATAATATTTTTAATTAGTTATTTTAGGTTCTGAAGAAACCTTATTTTCATCACTAGGCAATTATTATTTTCTTAAACTTGGAATATTTTAACATTAGTTTATATTTAATTAAATTTAAATTTAAAAAAATAAACTAATTTTTTTTTTATTGTATATCCCTTTCATAGTTATTGTGAAATTGTCCATACTTTTTACGTATTAAAAAAGTATAAATATCTAAAGGTTGCTTGAATAAAAAATAATTTCAAATTTATATTCAATGATTACGATTAGATCTGATAACAATAAAATATTATTCATATTTACTATGTATTTTATTAAATATAAAAATAAATATGATCAAAAGTTATTGTTAAAATATCAAAATTTTTATAATATTATATGCAAAAACATCTTAAAGTGAACAATTAACTTATTTTTATTTTAAATAACCCATATACTATATAAATATGACCAATGCAATACTTTGTCAACTCTATATAGGTATTCAAACAATTAGAGAAAAATAATGACAATCCCCTCCTCCTGGTTAATGGTTCAACCTTACAAAAAAAAAAAATCATAAAACAATTTATAATTAACGAATCCAGAAGTAAATAATTTTTATTATTGATATTTTTTAAATTTCTATTTTTCATATAATTGTGTGTTTAAATGTGTTTTTCATTAATTAATCGTTTTATTGTAAGTATATTTTCACATAATATTGTTTTTTCGTTCATTTTATTGACTTATATATAGATTTTACAGTTATAAAAAACTATAATTTTTGGTTTTAATATTTATAATTTTTTGAAGACACAAATATTGTATCTATTTATCTTTGATGGTTTTATTTTTATCATACGTTTTATTTAAAGTAACTTATTATTTTACATAGATACAATGCAAAGATGGTATAACATTATAAAAATAAATTTATTTATGAGACATACTATATATAAACTACTACGTTCTTGATTGAAAATCGCAAAACCTTTGAAGCTTAAGTTTTTACAAAGTTAAATAAAATTATGCTGCATTAAAAATGTCAAAGGTTAAAATTCAACAAATTGTATATCTAATAAGAACACATCACAAAAAAATAATTACTTGTATAAATAAATAAACTAATAACTATTATAAATGCTATGACTTATTTAATGAAATTTTAAGACATCCGTTATTAGTAATGACCATTCAAATCTAATTAAAATACATACATACATAAATAAAAACAACGTATTTGTAACTCACTTAACGAAATACTAAATCCGTAAATACTCGTACAAGAACTTAGGTATAAGATCGGACAAAATTGAAGAGTGTGCCAGAAAAAATTTCATGTTATGCTTTAGTTTAATGAAGTTTAAAAAAATATTAATCAATACCATTTTTCTCTTGAATATTCTACTCCCGATAAAATTAAAATATTTGCAAAACAATAACAATTCTCAATAATCGGTTACTGATTTTTTCTCAGCTATATTCACACTTGACGTTTTCTAAATAAATCTTCAAATCATTTCCATAATAATAAATTATTCTTATATTTTCGACGATACTAATTATTAAACAACAATATGTTATAAGTTGATGAGTAATAATATTAAAATTAATTGGCGTACTCTAAAGTATCGTGCAACTAACATTTTTGAGAATAACTCGAGAGCAATTTTATTGGATGAGACCATTGACTGTACCAGAAAAATTATAATTAAATTATGAATAACCTTAAAAATGTTTCAAATAATAAAATATTTCTAAATGCATAGAATAGATATCTTGAAAAAAAAATATGATAAAAATTGGTATGTTGTTGTCAGATTCGCAGATTCGGGCGATTGTGTGCTTCCGAAAAATTTGTACCGATTCTATGAACTTTTTTGTCATCTAAATAAGCAGTGCAATTGATCATAAAAATGTTATACCATCATGAGTGACATATAGGTTCATGTCTCCCGTGATTAATAATATTTAGTAACCGCATATAATCATAATTAAATTATGACCTATGTGATTGGCCATAACACGTTTGGGTACAAATTATACACCATTTGGGTACACTATATATCTAGAAAAATAATACATTTAAGTACATATGAATAAAAATTTGAAGGTGATTTATTGACAATTATTGATTTTTGCAACGTCAAACTTAAGTTGTATCTTTATTTTTCTTATTGTATTTTAAGGATTACGTCTATTACCTAATGTATTCGGCCCACATGTGGGGATGTGGAATGTAAAATTGTTGATTAAAATGATTATGGAATGCTTCTACACCATTTGTAGTTCAAGGTTCGTCTTATGAATGTCCTGCATATAACATGGGATTACATTTTGAATTGGGAAGTATAGATATTTCAAGAATATAGTCAGAAAATGATAAATCTAAAATCGGGCAATCTGATATTAATTATGTAAAGGCATCTTCTAGTTCTTCTGTGGGTGAATACGGCAAAACAAAAAAAATTTTAAGCCAATTCCCAATATTGGAATTTTCTTAATTATACTCAAGTTATAATTGTTCTTTACTTTAAATGTGCCGAAACCAACTTTGAGCTAAATTAAAATTACGAGAAACAATTTAACAATCGGTGTAAAAATGTAATAATGCATCGTGTGCAGATATCTCAAAATCTACATGAAACTCTTTAATATTTAGTTCTTAATTAAGTTTATGAACACAAATATCCTAAATTGCTATCCACATTGTAATATACGTTGAAATTGACTTACACTTCAAAAACAAAAAATTACTGGCACATAAAAATTATTTTGGCCTTCTGTCTACCAAGATAAAATGTAATTATTAACGTGTGCGTAAACCAGTTATACATTTATTGTAAACGTGTGCCCAAATGAGCCGATTTTTCAGATAAAAATTATAAATTGTACGCAAACAAGTTGCAGTCGAATTTGGAAGTTTGTGTACGTCATTATGGGTGAATGGTAATTCCGGTGTATTTATAAGCTTGAAATCTTTCATCAAGTATGGAAGTAAGAATTTTTTGATCGGACACGATTTATTTGTTTACATATTTCAAAACGTATTCTTCGATATGATTATCATTTGTAAATAAATTTGGGAAAATTTTTTTGCTTGTTAAGAAATTTCACAATTTTAGAGTTATATAAACAAGGTATTTTAAATAAATATATCCAAAGACCTCTGCAAACGACAAAGTTCTACGGAACAGTCAAGATTTTCATATTTAACACCAGCTGTAGATAACGAGTACGAAAAACAGTCGTAAACAACTTCAATGTTGACAATTGTGTATACCTTTATATAGTAGTGGATTATTATTTTAAAATTTAACACGAAAATATGACATACCGATAGTATAATGTTTCTCTGTGTGATTTCGTTTACATAAAAGTGTCAATATTTTTTTTGAAATCTGATGTTTACCGTGAAATTCTCCACGGTTTCCTTTTTTTATTTGATTAGAAAAGCCCTTTGGAAATTCATAAGATAAATAAATTCCATATTAAAATATTCAATTCCAATAAAATTATTTCTACGGAATCGCCGAAGGGGAAATTACTCAGCTCTTTTCGTAAATGAATGTACACTTTGAAAAACGGTATAAAATTAAAAAACGGTCATTGGACAACAACCAATAAAGCCTTTTTTAAATACTCACTGTAATTTTTTTATTCTATTCTTCAAAATATTACTATGGTGATTGGATATAAAATTTAATAAAGAATTGTATAAAATGTATAAAGTCTATAGCTTTATAAAGAAAAAGTATAATATATTTTTTTAGTTTTTAATATCATTATTAATACATTTAACATTTATACATCTATAAACATCAAATAACCTAAATATATATATATTTCAATTTACTACGCTACTCCAAAATCAAATTAAAAATCTTTTGGCAGATAAAACTAAATTCAACAAAACATGTACAATTTAATTTTAGCGCAATGAATCAAAAAAAAAAAAAAAAGAAAATAACGTATTTATTATTTAATTTTTTTTTTTTTTTTTTGTAAGTGAATCAAATTTCTTATTACTAATAACTTTCTAGATTTAAAGCCATTTTACCGCAGGGAAAATCACGATTATCTATTATAGACAATTTCAACCAGAAGAAGTGTTTCGATAAACAAATAAAAGGTAAAAGATAGGATATGATTATTAGTATTTAGGAATTATTTTTTGAATTTCTCAACCGTTGTCCAAAATTTAGAAAAAATGAAAAAAAAATTCAAAAAACTTCAAATTTCATATAGAATCCCAATTTTATTAACTTTGTATATGTACCTGATGAAGACTTTTTAATTCGAAACCGGTCATACTTTACAAATATAATAATACTCCAGACTAAGTTTTTTTTTTATTTATATATTTCTATAAATAAACTATTTGTTTATTTATTTATAAATTTCAATTTCTACCGAGATTTGAACCCTCACCATTAATAATCTCATATAATTTAGTCACGCACTATTTATTTTTTTTTTTTTGAGATTGTGTACATGATTTCAACCAGAAGTGTATCGAGCTGCTTTACAATCTAAAGATAATTTCTATAGAAGATATTGTGTACATGGTACTTTGAAAGACTTAATAATAACTTAATAATTACAAAACACTGACGAAAAGTTATAAAAAAAACGACAACATTTACGACATAAACAATTTTCGACAAAATTTTAGTTTAGTTTTTAGTTGAGTTTTCTTCGTGATTCAAAAAATAATGACCAAGAGACATAATATTTTTACTGAATGCTTGTATCACCGTTTTCTAGAGATTTTATTCTATGTTATTCAAAAGATTATTTTTTTTTTAGTTATTTATAAAAAAATTTAATTTTCATGTTTTCTTAGATTAATTGAAAAATGTCAATAGAATAATTTTGGTTTGACAAAACGTCTTGTTAATTTAAAACAAAGTTTCTCATACATATATATAATCGATAAATAAAAATATATACATTGGTGTGAATATTAAATTTTGACGAAATTATAAAAATCGGCAACATTTTTGTTGTAAAAATGCATAATATTATAATATTTGATTGAAAATTACATACCAGGTTTTTCGTCTGTTTCATATCATTCTTTGTTGTTACATACAAAAAATGGAATGTCACAAATATGATTTATAATCATTACACAATGTAATTTGGACGAAATCAGATATTTCAATGAATTTCCATGAAATTATACAGTTGAATCACAATAACTCGAAATTAGTTAAAAGGGAATAAGAATTCATTTCGAGATATCTATTATTCGAGATACTAACTCGAATTTTTCAAAATTAAGTCAAAATTTAAGTTATATAATGAGATATAATTTTAAAATTGTACGATAAAAAAACATTATAATAAATATATGTATATAAATGTTATCACAAATTCTTGTAATTTGCCTATGACTTCGAATATAGAAACATCCGCTCTTCGGACAAATTTATCAAATTACCTAACAGTTAGCAATGATGAAATTGCTTGGTTCGTCGTTATCATATTTAAACATTTTTCAGGCTCATCATTTTCATCATTCTCAGAATCACTATTTATTATATTTCTACCCATGATTTTGTTATCAATTAACGGTAAACTAACTACAACATTATCATCGATTGTAGCATACGATTGAAAAGTAGTTTATTGATTGATATTAAATTTATCTGCTACAATTTGTCAATCATATGCACCAATCATCGTCATTGTTTTCCAAACATATCATCATATCATCATCACATTGCTCTTCATTAAAACAGAATCCAGCTTTTTTGAAACAATTGACAATTTTACTCGTATTTGGTTGTACATTCCATACATACAAATACATACGTACTGTTATTGTGCATACGCTAATAAACAGTTTCTATCTACTCGTTTAATCTTTATTATATATACATTACAGATATAACAAATAAAATAATATACATCGACTAAGCTATTTATCACAATTTGATATTCAAGTTAACAAGACTTATGATACATTGAGTGTTAAGAGAATTTCTAAGGGAATGAGAAAAAAAAATCAAGTTATCGAGGTTCGAATTATGGTGACTTGATTGTATAAGTTATTTAGTTACAGACATTTTGTAGTTATAAATTATTTTAAAGAAATTTGTGCTGTTTATAGGTATTTAATATTTTCCATTTTTCAAATCTTAGATATATTATTCTTATTACGAATGTCTGACTATTTGAAGTACATTATTAATGTGAGTTGCTACCTTATAATAAATTTGATTTTTCTACTATATTAACTGACTTAAGAAATGTAACTAATCTACTTGTTTTTTTTTTTTTCATCCAGAATAGTTATTTTGAGAGTTATTTATTTTAATTAATTAAAATTATTATTTTATTTCGTTATTTAATTATGTAATTTTCCCCGACTATGGAATTTCACCCTTTTTTATTCGGTTTCTCTTCGATGAATTCGTCATTTGCATACATAAACTGTTTTCTGCCATTCACAAAATATATAAAGCTTTTGGTTTGTTTCGGTTAAAACGCTTGATGCACACAATTAAACGATGTACTTGCTGAGTCGAAGCACTGTTATGGCAATGAAAGCGTTTGTGATTCGCATGGGCAGAGCGATTAAATATCATAAATATTTGCGTCGTGTGATGGCGAATCGTCGAAATAATCTTATAATAACGTGGTCGTCTTATAATAATGTCTTCAAAGCGTCCAGTAACTTTTAAACGACCGCAGAACGTACGCGATTTAACCGGGTCCCTATCTCATAATGGTGCAGAACAAGTAAAGAAATTACATTTTACACCATGTCTATTACATGTCGGCATAAAGTACAATAAGAAGAAAAAATATGCCGGAGATCCGTAGGGATGTGGTCAACGCGCAAAAGTTTTCCACTATTCTTATTTGTGTTTGTCCTAAAACGCTCAGTTAATCCAATTCCATATACGACCTCATGACATTGTCATTATCGACATCGTATTGTTGTATTATAAAACCATGGACTGTCAATAACACACGCGCGCGTGCTCACACGCTCACACAGTTGCAGTGTACGTAGAGTACATAGTGGAACTAAAACAAAATCAGTGCAATGCTACTAGTGTGAGATAAATATAGTAGTCGTCACTTGTTATGATCATGATTAATGAATGCAATCGTGTAAATTTATCGATAAGTGTAAGTATAGATCGGATGTACACTGAAATGTGTAAATTATCTCGTTCGTTGTAATTAATTCTCAAATAATGTTATCACTAGGGCGTGGATTTTTTTGTAAATACATAATTTTATTGAATGTGAATTTCTTTATTCTGATGAACAGGGTGTATATATGAATAAAATATGGCTTTTTTTATTTTACCCGTTTTCACATACAGTAGAATCTCGCTTATCCGAACCTCCGTTATACGAACCCTCTATTATCCGAACTATAATTAGCGTATCCGAACGTTCTGTTATCCGAACATGAAAACTCGTATCCGGTCAGTCGGCCGGCCGGTTTATCGATGTATCAAATTATCATAAATCATTAGTCAATCATTAGTAAATCACCAAAACGCAACGGGCTTATCTAAATGATGTCCTCGTGTATAACTTGTCAGTTTAGTTCGGCTCTCTACCTCACACACATCGTTATACATCGGACAAATATATTACGAATGTCAATTAACTAAAATGTCTAATAAACGTAAACGTCATGTTCTTTCGATGGAACAAAAAATAGAAATTCTTGCTAAACTGGACAAAGGTGAGACTAGCGTATCTTTAGCCCGTATTTATAATATAGGTAAAGCAACAGTTACAGATATTAAAAACAACCGTCATGCAATCATGGATTTTGCGTCAAAGATGAATAGTGATTATGGAATAAAAAGAAAAAAAGTTATGAGAATCACAAAATATCATGATCTTGACAAAGCAATGGAAATGTGGTTTATACAAAAACGAAGCTTAAATGAACCAATTTCTGGACCTTATTTGAAAAAGCTCTTGAGATGAATACAAAACTTAAGGGCCCTGAAGATTTTAAAGCCAGCAGTGGCTGGCTTCATATATTCAAATCTTGACATGGAATACGTGAGTTATAAATTCAAGGTGAATTATTATCAGCCGATTCAAGTAGCGCTGAAAATTTTAAACAAACATTCCAATTATTTGTGGAAATAGAAGGATATTCTCAAGATTCCGTTCACAATGCCGATGAAAATGGCTTACTCTGGAAAGCACTACCAAAAAAATCATTTGCTTCTTGTCAAGAACATGCAGCACGTGGTCTTAAGGTATCCAAAGAAAGAGTAACAATTATGACATGTGCTAATAATGCTGGGACCCATAAATTGCCATTACTACTCATAGGAAAATCAAAGAAACCACGGTGTTTCAAGAACATCAAAAGTTTACCTGTAACGTATACAGCTCAAAAAAATGCCTGGATTGACTCTAAATTATTTTTTAATTGGTTTGAAAATGATTTCATAAAAAATGTGAAAAAAATGGCGTCAGGATCATCACAAGATAGGTAAAGTGCTACTAGACAATGCACCCACTCACTCTTCCACCGATGTATTAAATTTAATTGATCCAGATTATCAAGTCATGTTTCTTCCACCAAACGTAACGTCTTTGATTCAGCCCGTGTATCAGGGAGTAATCGAAAAGTTCAGAAGAATGTACCGAAAACAAATGTTGAGGAGACTTTTATTAAATTTAGGCACTGAAGAAAGTGTTGTTGCATTTTCAAAATTATTGAATTTGAAACACTGCTGTTACATGGCAGCAGATGCCTGGGATAATTTGACTGAGAAAAATTTACGAAATGCTCAGAAGAAGTTTTGGGTTGCTTCTATGGAGTTAGAAGCCGAAGAAAAAACTGATCTAAATAATCTTGATGATTTTGTTGATTTATTTAATGAAATTCCAGGATTTAATGACTGTAATTATTATGACGCTATTGATTGGTTAGCAACTGATGTAAATGATCTAGGATATCAAATATTAGATTGCGATGAAATCATTTCTTCGTTGCAAAATGAAGAAAGTGATGATAGTAGTGATAAAAGTATGGGTGCACCAAAGGACCATCATCTGCTAAAGCATTTGCTGCTTTTGAAACTGATCTTGAGATGTTTGAACAGTAGGCCGAATGTTGTCCAACACAATTATTTCTACTTAAACATTTGCGAGACTTAGCTGCAGAAGAGTGCGTTGCAGCTCATCGTCAAATTAAAATGGATAATTTTGTCAAAATATATAATAAATAATATAAGTAAATGTAATTTATTTCTAATAATGTATGTACTCGTATTTCTGATAATGGAATGTATGTAATTCTAATGAAATATCAATTATAATAATAAATATTTAATTATAAAAATAATTAATTAATACATCATATTATAAAAAAATTTTATTTTATATTTCCAATATCCGAAATTTTGCATATCTGAACTAGGTGTGGTCCCAATTAGTTCGGATAATCGATATTCTACTGTATTTTGATATTAATACATATTTTCAAATTTTCATATTTATACAATCAATATTTGTATTAAAATTATATTGGAATTAATTTATTCTTTACTTTCTTTTTATTTTTTCATTATATGTTTATTTTAAATAATATACAGTGAGTTTCAACTAATATAGACCAGCCTCGTTTTCCCACAACTAGCGATTGCTCATAAAAATGGAAATTAGTTCAAATAAACAAAAATTTATAATATAATTTTTTTTTTTTTTTTGAACAAGTACATTGAACCATACAATTGAAAAATAATATTATGTAAATTACTATATTGCCAAGTGTAACCATTGTGTGATTTCTTAATAAAAAAAAAAAAATGCATGTAGTTACTTCATGCTATATGACTATATCACATATACTTATGCTAAATTGTATAAATTATGTATACCTAATTGTGAAATATAAAAATAAAAATAGAAATTATTACATAAATAAAACTAAATAAAATTACTATTTGAATTTCGAAGATGAAAAAAACGTTGGAATTGCTCGTTCTTTTAACTGTTTAGTAAATATTTGATTGTCAAAATGGGTACTCTTCAAGCTTATCAGACAGTCTATTTTCATTACCATCTTGCATGAAGAAGTTCTGCTATAAATGAATACATTTTTTAGCATTTCTAGCTGTAACTAGTGGGTTAGTATCATATTTTTCTTCTTCTTCTTCCAATTTCCTTTTTTTAAGAACATTTTGTACTACAATATCACTAATGTCTTTATTATTATCAAAAAAGGAGTATTTTCATCAATATTTTATACTGATTATTTTTGAATAAATAAAAGTTTTTCATTCAATTCAATGAACTTAGATCTAAACCAACATAATTAAAAGATCCATAATGAATGAAACAATTCAAAATATTTGTACAGTTAACTTCTCGTCAGCTCTCTAAAAATTGCCCACATAAATCGAATCGAGTGCTCATATGCGGTTTTTTTAACCTTGTTAATATACATTTGTATTAGGATCAAACCATTTTGTCCATTTTACCCGGATACTCATATTCACCAGTGCCCACATTTTGCAGAATCCACTGTGAATTAAATTAAAGTAAATTTGTTGTAGCCAATATGTAGATATATTACATTGCATTGATACATTTTTTTTTTCTAATGTACCTTGCTAATTGTAATTTTATGAAAATGTTCGTTTAGTCATATTAGTTTTGTCAGTGCTAAAGTGATTAAGTAAATTAAGTGGCTATCACTGTAAATTCTATATTACAGCTATAGCAAGCCCATTGTAATAATAAAACGATAATCAACAAACGGTTTGAAGTCATCGCGAGATGAAAATGTTCAAGTTTTCTTTAAATCTACTTATTAGTTTATTCGCCCTGAAATATCAAACGAAACTATATGTAATAACTGCAGCTGGTTGCGTTTTCATTTTTAATGATATTATAAAGGCGTACAAGAAAATCCAAGGTGTTTTTACAATAATTACAATATAAATAAATAACGACAAATTCATACTGCCATTATGCCAAACGTGTTCTAGCCATTTCAAATTACAACCACCCGCATATAAACTAAATATTTTTTTCTTTAAATGCTAAAAGTGAGCTAAAAAAAAAAAAATACCTATTTATTGATTGTTACACGTTTTCAGATCGACTGTAAATTTAGCCATCTTAATTTTTTTTCTCAGAAAACACTTTGGGTTGCCGATTTTAATCGTACACTACATTTTTAACAAATACAATAAATCCTACGACTCTATTCATTGAACGGTTTTAATTATAAACGTATGTATGGTTATAGATTTTGTTCGTTATAGTTTCTATACAATTATTTATATAAATAATCTATGGTACCCAGATTATTTATGGACTTTCTAATACAATATTGGTTCTAGAAAAAAAAGCATAATTTTACTTTGAGGCATATAAATCATAATAAAAAAAAAAAAATCAATTATTTTACGGAATTCGAAATTTCGGTAGACAATTTCAAAAACTGATAACTTTAAACAATTTGCGAATCTCATTAATCGCTCTAATAAACACGGATAATAAAATTTAATTTACTAATTGGTACTACTTCATAAATAAATCCAACTTATAAATCAAAGAATTTTCAGAATTGGTCATGGAGGGTGGGGAGCTAACTCAGATATCATCTACCAGCTGAATTCTTAGGCTTAATGGGGAAAAATTTTTCTTACGCATAAAATGCATATTATCATATTTTATTCACTCGCGATATAAATTCGGAGGACTTGTGGAGTACATAGCCGTAATATACTTATTGCGAAATGCTCTAAATTGCATAAATCACAGAAAGGAACATATATGGGACTTGAATCCCTTCAATTAAATTTATCTAGCTCCGCCTTTGTTCTTTGCAGTGATGGTAGTAATATAAATCACAGATACTCAAGAATAAGTTACAAATGTTACCTATCTACCAGCCGCCAACCGAATGGCTGCTCATAATTTACTTTCCCTCCAACAACTTGACGTTAGCCTTATTAATTTTTTGGGCATTTATAATCACGTGCTTAAAATTACAGTCGAAAAATAATTCGAATTTGATATGTTATTTTTCCGTTACATATGAGCATTAAATGATGACGCGTCTAAAAAGAGTAATATAAGTTTGGCAACCGTTATACCGAGAAAACAGTGATCAAAGAAACGCCCACTCATATAAAATGATAGGTATTTTCCTGTATCAAGGAATCAATTTAATTCGATTTGATGGGTTTGTGGACAACTGTAAAGCGATATTGACTGAACAACTATGTTTTGTGTTAATTCTTCATAGAGTAGATGCCATAGAAAATAGAACTTTTCAATTTGAATTGTTTTAAGACTTATACTCGTAGAGTAAATTCAAAAAAATTGTAATAAGTAAAAACAAACTTATCTTATCGTATCAAATAAGAAAAAAAGTTGAAACATAGAATATACATTTTTAAACGATTTACACATCGACTTGGACTGATAGAATGTCAATAAAATAAGCGTAAAAATAATATTTTTATAACGTAAGAAGACTGTGAAAACTATAACGTATAGCCTTACATGTATTTTGTATAAATTAAATAAATATATTATAAAATATTTAAATAAATTACAGATTTATAAACAACAGTATAGTTTTATAACTTGTTACTATTTGAATATTACTTGGTAATATTCGAAATATACAGTAATAGGAAATAGTAAATCTTAAAAATGTAAATTCTATTTTGTTATTTTTAATGCAATGCAACAGATAATTTAGTGAGAAGTAAATTCGCAAATTAAAATTTACCATACACATAATATTTCGATTAATCTTTTTTTTAAAAAATCCACATTCGAAATTTTAAAAACATAAGTAAACACGAATTTTCATTTTATAATATTCTTAGTTTTTATAGTGTTTGTTTTACTTGTGGATTATAATCATATTGATTTTATAATAAAATATGAAATTGAACGCAAAATATTGATTTGTATAACATTAAAATAAAGTACATAATTTT